CTAAATAAGATTATACAGTTACTCAGTACGGACTCCGACGGTCAGACCCTTGACCCGAGACCGAGACGACCGCGCAAAGCAAAAACAATACTCTTTTCTTTTGACCAGAAAACCCTTCTCTCCGTCTCGGATCGGAAGGTGGACATTTGCCCTCTCGGTCTCCAAGAATCGCCGCCGAAAAAGAGAACCATATAGACAAAAATAATCAAAGACAACCGGTACCCATTTTTCTTTAACCGTCAATGCAAGACCCCCGCCACCGCCGTGGCCGCCACGGAGCTAAAACGCACCGGCCGGCGTTGGCTTACCTCGGCCCTGGTCAGGCTGCTTTCAAGATCGTCTGCCACGCTTCCGCGGTCAGCGGCGTGATCGGCGCCTCCGGCTCCGTTGTTTCCCAGATTCGCCGGGAAACCTCCTGCATTGTCAGCTGCGAGGAGCTGGCCGAGGGGGCGGACCACCGCGTCTTCGTCGTGGTCGGCTCGGCCACCCCGGAGCGGCGGCTTCTGTTGAGAGCGGCGGAGGAAGAACAAGGGTCCGGCGAGGAGCTCGTTTCGGACGCGCAGGAGGCGGTTCTGAGGGTCGTGGAGAGGATGTGGGAAGTCTGCCGCCTTAAATGGCGAGGGAAGGCGGTGGGCGGCGGCGGCGGCGGAAGTAATGAAGGGTTTTGTGGGCTGTTAGTCGACCGTCAGCAGGTTGGTATCGTTGTGGGTAAAGGTGGGAGGACGATAACCAGGATGAAGTCAATCAGTGGGGCCCATATCAATATTTTGCCGGCTCCGCCCTGTGCGTCGCCGGACGAGCAATTGATTCAGGTCCATAAACGATCTCTTCCGATATCTCTTGTCTTTGTTTCCTCACTCTGATTAGCTAAAGCTTTGCATGTGGTTGGTATTATAGATAATAGACATCTGAACCCCCATTAACTTGGGGAATATATTGCTTATAGGGTTCTGAGTTCTGAATTATGTTAAACTAAGCTTGCATTATGTCTGTTTTAGAAACTATGTTCATAGTTGCTGGGATTATTATGCATTTGCAGATTACTGGTTCGGTTTTGGCTGTGAAGAGAGCAATTGTTGTAGTCACTGCTTGTCTTCAAGCTTGCTCTCCATCTGAAAGGGACCCATCCCCTATTCCAGTGAGACCTATAGAGAGATCTTCCTCTAAAACATCTTTTGACCAACATTTGGAGTTCTTTCCACATCTTGGCTCAAATTTGCCACCTTTGAATTCCGCCGATACTAATTACTCGAAAAATGGTGATGATGGGAGGCGGGAAGTTTCATTCAGACTCATTGTCTCCAATAATGCCGTGGGAGGCATTATTGGCACAGGAGGGTCCATAGTTAAGTCTCTGCAGAATCAAACTGGTGCTTGTATCAGATTCGCAGCTCCAAAGACCTGGGGTGGGGAGAGGGTGGTCACTGTTTCTGCATTGGAGGTCAGTTTATGTTATACTTATTACTGCAGTCTTAGTTACATGTTATTTTCAATTTTTTCACACACCACAATTTGGCAGACTATACACGCCGGGGGATGATATGCTCACTTTATGTGTCATGTTGACATTTGTATATGGGGTCTCTCTTTATAGACTCTGGAATGTAGGTCTTCCCCTGCACAGACTGCTACAGATCTGGTGTTTGCTAGATCTATTGAGTGTGAGTTTGAAAAGATGCATTTATCATCGGCCTTAAGTGATGGCACTCATGTCAAAGCGAGGCTCATACTGGATATGGATCATGTGTATTTCCTTGGTGGTTGCAATGGGATGATTGATGCAGAAGCTTCCAAAGGTGCTACTATTGGATTACAGGCATTGGAGGATTCGACTACTGATTTTATTCTAGAGGTGCGTTTCCAATGGCCTAATTATATTCCCTCCTAAGTTCTCATTTTTATAAATTTTGCACTTTGCTTACATCTTTGACGTTTAAAAGTGAATTGGCATTTTAGTGAAGCTTTATAGCTTAATGCATATCTTCAATTCAATACCCTTCAAGCAGGTCATTATCTATTTCGTTCATTGTGGAAATGACAATTATAGTCAGGATAGGTTCCCTCCTCTTAAACCTATAACGTTTAAGGGATGGATTCGGATAATCTGTGTGCTCCATCTCCTGCAACTTTTGTGGATTCAGCTTCTGGTATATAATTTCAAAGCAGCAGAAAGTATGGTTTCCGCTCAATTGTTTTCTGGATTGGTTGTGTCTTCCTCACTTTGAACCAGACAGCTTACTTTTTGTTTCAATTCATGATGGAATCCTGATTTTCTGGCCTTGGAAATGGACTGAAACCTGTTATCTTTCGCAGATTAGAGGAGAATATAAAAATGTTCGAAATAGTCTTTCTCGGATTATTGGCAAACTGAGGGAAAGTGTATTTCCACGAGATACGATTGAGGTGGCAACAGCTAGAAGCTTGAAGGGAGGAGTGAGCGATGTTACTTCTACATTTCTGAAACCTGGTCAAGGTGACCAATCCGGTGACGTTCAAGAGAATCTCTCCAGAGGAGGAAGTACTACTGCCATCAAAACTACTAATGATCCTGCTAGCTTGGCATCTCCCAGTAAGGTATCAGAACTCGAAAGGTGCATGCGCTTTCTTTTGCCGAGGGGAGTGCTGAAAGAGGTAGAAAGAGAGGTTCCTGGTGGAGGATCAAATGAGAACAAGCCTCTTCAGTCTCATCCTGAAGCTCGCAATGCTGCTAACACTTCCAATAAAACTTTCGTAACACAAGGGGACATTCAATTCGGACTCTCTGACTCCAGAAGCACTTCTTTATCAGGATTTCAGGTGATCTGTCTTTATATCCATTGCTCCCTTCACCTGCTAGAAAAAGTGTGTATATTTAAATGATAGTGTTCATTGCAGTCTGCTCGAGGAAATACAGTGACAATTACAGATAGTGAAGACCACTCTACTACACCGACACCTACGGAGCATGAGAGGTCAGTAATGCAGAGAGGGGATAGCAAAATCTGCAAATTCACTTGTCAAATTCTCTCGTTTCTTTGTTTTCTTTCCCTATTCTAATATGTCGCTCATATGATGTGTGTTAAGCGTTCATTTACAAAGTGTATGAAAACTGACACAAGATCACAAGAGGGATTTGGATTCTGTTAGTGTTGGTTATACATTTCATCAAACTACAACGTTTTTTTTTTATACTCTATGGGGTTGGTAAAGTGTTAGTACTTTAGCTTAGTTTGGCCCTGCTGTAGCTTTTGCAGAAGCAACTTCTGGCTAGAGCTTTTAGATAAGTACTTTTAAAAAAAAGCAGTTGAGTGTTTGGCTCTAAAACTATTAGAAGTGCTTTTTAATATAAGAGGTTGTGTAAAATGACTATAAAGAACTTATAATATAAAATATGAATAAAAATTCTAAACAATAAAAAGTAGTCAAAATGGATCTTGTTAGATTTCTTTTATATTAAATAATATGATTTTATAATTTATTTTATTTTTAAAATAATATAAATGAAGAAAAATTATATTTTCTGAAATAAAATTAAAATATGGTAAGGATAATCTTGTATTTTCAAAACAGTTTTTTGCAGAAGCTCCAAATCGGAGCTTCTGCTTTTATGTTATACAAAAGCGTTTTTCGGCTTTTCAAAAGCCGAGCTTTTACAGGTGTTTGGCCCTGCTTCAGCTTTTGAACCCGAAAAGCGCTTCTAAAAGCCGGGCCAAACATAGAGTTTATATCATAATGCAACGTAGGATATTTGTGATCTCATTCATTAAGTTTACAACTTCATTTAATTGCAGAAAGAATATGGCTTTAGTAGCGAGTGAAACTATAGAGGTTAGAATATCTGCAGCAGCTATCAATGCTGTCTACGGCAAGGATGGAAGCAATCTGGATCACATAAGAAAGGTGAGAGCTAGTGACTGGCCACAAATGACAGAAGCGATTTACACTTCATGACTAACTATTTTGGTAACAATTGATTAACGAACTGCCTATCTACTTGTGTTGGACTGAGTTTCTTTTCGAGTGCCGTCTCTGTTTCTGTCAGATGTTAACGTCAACATGTATGGGATTTTGGGGCAATCAGATTTCAGGTGCTAAAGTTGGAGTACTTGATTATTATCCTGGGAAAAGTATGACGATTGTGATATCTGGAACACACGATGAAGTTAAGGTGGCTCACAGCTTAGTTCAAGCCAACATCCTACTTGCTCAATGATTTCATCATGTCTATTCCTTCTTATCTACTAATCAGCCGCTTCAGCTGCCACTTTTTTGACTCCTGTCAGCTGAATTTTCGGAACACCATGAACGGAGAGTTGATGCAGCCATTCTCAAAGCATCAAGGATTCTTAGCTGAGAGAGAGGGGGAGTGTATAACTATAACTGTATATACACAGTACAGTAACGGTATCATTCATTTTGCCAGTGGAAGAGTTGAGTGTACATGATTAACTTCACCGGCTGATATTTTTGCCCTTAGCGGGCTTGATTTAATCCGAGGAAACGATTTGTTACTGCTTTCTTGTTCTCAGATATGAATTCTTGTCATCTTGAGTTGCTCTTATTTCCATCGTTTTCTGTTAAGGTATGTGCAGTTTTCCGGACACCAAAAGCGTTGAGCTTCAGATAGCTGTCGTTGCAGATAAACCATTCTTCTTGTTTGAATCAAATTCTTTATCCAGCCTCGTCAATTAATCCTCCAATATATAAATCAGTAAGTTTAAATAGTAACGCAACGGAATCCTCAACGATAATTTCTTAGCTTCTTCATATCTGTGGCAGAAGTCTATGTTGTAAATGATCATGATTGATTCGAGGTTAATTTACAGAGATGTAAATCAAAATCCATGCATTTTCTTGAGCGTTTTTTGGATCCCCTGATAGTTGGGTGGCGCTTCCCAAATGATGGATTTCGGGCATCTTCTTGATACCATGGAACTCCTGAAACCGGCTCTAATTCTGACTACAACGCTAAAGAGTAAAGGTCACTACCCCCATTGATTCCATCATTCCATTCTGTCACTTCACTTGAAATGCAGAGCTTCTTTAGGCTTTCCCAAGAGAGACAGCACCGTTGCAGTGATTTGCTTCGATGAAAGCCCTGCTTCTTGAATCTGATCTTGAGGTGATCCATGGTCAATGTATCTATCCGGAAGCACCATTGCTCTCAACTGTATTCACACAAACCCACAGTCAGAAGCCAGAACAAAAAGAAAAAGGGCACAAAGAATGAAACAGGATCAGTGGAAATGTTAGCTAGTCACCTTAAGGGGTCCATCTAGAATCCCACTCAAGCTCAAGAAATGAGACACATGAGATCCAAACCCACCAATCGAACCTTCTTCCACCGTGATCAGAATCTCGTGCTCTCGCGCCAGCTCCCTGATAAGCTCAGTGTCCAAAGGCTTACAGAACCTCGCGTCAGCTACCGTGACATGAATATCTCTGCTCTTTAGCATACCACCAGCTTCAACACACTGCTGCACTATAGCTCCATAACCCAGTATAGCAACTCTGGTTCCTTCCATCACTACCCTTCCTTTGCCAACTTCGAGTGGAGTTCCTTTGTTGTTGAGTGGGAGAACTGCACCAATCCCGTTCCCCCTTGGAAACCTGAAGCAGCTCGGCCTGTCATCAATTGCTGCAGCTGTTGCAACCATGTGCATCAGCTCGGCTTCATCGGATGGCGCCATCACCACCATGTTTGGAAGGCAGGCCATGTAGGCGATGTCGAATGCTCCGCAGTGGGTCGGTCCATCAGCTCCAACCAAACCAGCTCGGTCCATTGCGAACCGGACAGGTAGCTTCTGAAGATCCACATCATGTACTACCTGCATTTTCCAAACCCACGATTTAGATAAAGCATGAGCAATATATCTGTAGTTCGCCAAATCCTATTTGTGGTTGTAAATTTTCACCTGGTCATATCCTCTTTGAAGGAATGATGAGTAGATGGCACAGAATGGCTTGAGACCTTCAGCAGCTAACCCAGCTGCAAACGTGACAGCATGTTGCTCCGCGATCCCCACATCGAAGCATCGATCTGGGAACTTCTTCTGGAAAAAGTTGAGACCAGTCCCACCACCCATTGCAGCATGGATTGCAACTACTTTGCTGTCTGCCTCAGCTTCTTTGACTAATGATTCTGCAAAGTATTGCGTGTATGACAAGGTAGGGGATTTCGTCTTGAATTGCTTGCCCGTTTTCACATCAAACTTCACCACTCCTGAAAGAAGACAGTTCAGAAGAGATCACTCATTATGCAAATAGCTTGAAAATTCACCATAGATACATTTGAAAATGTACCCTAGGCAAAGTGGATCACACATGTCAGAAAGACTCACTCACCATGCATTTTATCAGCAGCAGCCTCAGCAGGAGGATACCCTTTCCCCTTCTCTGTCACAATATGGATCAAAACAGGTCCAGGAGCAGGCATTGCCTTCACTTTCTCGAATATCGTCACTAGATCTTCCACATTGTGACCATCAACGGGTCCAATATAGTACAACCCAAGCTCCTCGAAGAAGGTCGACCCTGAAGCACTGATCATTCCTCTTGCATACTCATCCACCTTTGCTGCAACTTCATGCGCTTGGCTTCCAATTTGCTTTGTAATGCTCTATTTACCCACATCATATACGATCAAACTCAGCTCGCATTCCAGCAGCTCTTAGAAACCCAAGGGCACAGAGGAAAAGTTTTACCTTGGCAGCCTCACGAAGCTTGCGGAATTGGGTGCTGGCCTGGAGCTTTGTGAGTGCACTGCTGAGTGCTCCAACGGGAGTTGCTGGACCATCGAGCGTCGCAGTAGGTAAAGAGACTTGCTTGTTGTCGTTGAGAATCACTATGAGATTGGCATCGAGGAACCCGGCGTTGTTCATGGCTTCGTAAGCTTGCCCTGCTGTCATCGCCCCATCTCCAATCACTGATATCACGTTGTTGTTATTCCCCAATATGTCCCTCGCAACCGCCATTCCTACATTCAATTCATACATGTTTGCACAGTTATTTCCAATACAGGGTTCTCTAGGTAAGTGAATTGTCCAACTCATTGAGATGAACTGGTTGATTACTGAGATGGTAATAGAATGTTTAATACAGGTACGAGTTCATCTTAATTTGACATATTGAGATGAACTGGTTCGGTTTGGATCGTGAACTCTCGTGTCTAGAATGAGATTTTTGGTTAAACGTTCGGATACGTAAATCTATTTAACTCAATAATCCGAGTTATTAGGATCAAATGATCTCGATATAAATATATTTAATTGAGAAAGTCCCACATGTAAATCCTTATATCCTCAATAACAAAAGTTGATGATATTAAGGATAAGGTAAAACCTCACTTAATAGCAAACTAGAATTTTTAGGATCAAACTTTATCGGATACCACTAAACATGGGGAAAAAAAATTGAACTTACCAAGGCCGGCGGAGATGCTGGTGGAGCTATGACCAGCGCCGAAAGCGTCGTGATCGCTCTCGTCTCTTTTGGGGAATCCGGCCAGCCCCGAGGTCTTTCTAATGGTGTTCATTTTGGACCTTCTTCCAGTGAGGATCTTGTGGGCATACGCCTGATGTCCGACGTCCCATATGATTTTGTCTTCCGGGGTGCTGAAAACGTGGTGGAGCGCCACTGACAGCTCCACCACTCCCAAGCTCGAACTAAGATGCCCTCCCGTTTTCGCCACGCCATAGACGATCTCTGCTCTCAGCTCTGCCGCGAGTTGTTCCAGATCCTGTTGTTTTCACGATGACGACGACGGCAATGAATTAATTAATTAACAAACTAACTTTGGATAAAACGACAATTTGATGACCCTCCAGCCGCGGAAAACGACAAATCGCCGGCTAAATGGAATCCCCCAAATCCAAGTCTAGACGGTGATCCAAAAAACAGAGAGACGAGATGGGAAAGTTGAGATGATTGAGGATCCTCTGTTTTACCAACCTGGGTGGAGAGATTCTTCATATGAACAGGGTAATTGACGGTGTCGAGAAGTGGGGTGGCCGGTTTTTCACCGGAGAAATCGATTTTCCAACCGTCTTTCTCTTTCCTTATCACCATTTTCCCAGCGTTTTCTTCATCTTCTCCTCCTCCTTCCCCTGTTTTCCCAGCACAAGCTCTCACACAGAACTGCAGCAGAAAAATAAAATCAGCAAAAACGAAGAAAGAATTTTTCATGAAACCCACTAAGGAACCAGTGATCATGAGAGAAACCCACTTGGCAGAAACCGGAAAAGGAAAGCTTTCTATTCACAGGATCACGACAAAAAAACTCCTCATTCCCAGGGAAGAAGAAGAAGAAGTTCAGAGTTGGTGACGGAGAAAGGGAACTACTAACCTGTTTTCTGAAGGACAGACATGGTGATCGGGTAGTTACTCGGAACGGCGAAAGAGACTGCTGAGGAAGGAAGAGGGAGCCGGATACCGCCATGGATGGCCTGCTGAAATGCAACCAGAGAGAAGAGAGAAGGTTGAGGGAGAAGAATTCTGTGGGGAGGGGACAGTGGTACGAATGAGACCATAAGAAGAGGAGAGAGCTTATTAAATATATATTGGGAGCTTTGGTGCAGGCGGGCGACGGGAAACATAGAGGGGCCAATTAGGAGTCATCAATATTGAAAATTTTAACTTAATTGGCTCAAACAAGAAATAAGGTTAAGATTCCATCATGCCAACCTTTCACGAGATGGACATGTACATGGAATCGTCGTTTTTGTTCTAACTGCCCCATTTCCCGGCACATTATTGATAGGGCATGTCTCATTGTCTGTGTTTAATTTTAGTGCTAATACATTTTCTTCTCACCTTCATCGTTAAGATATAAATGAGTACCCAAGCTGTCAAAAGAAATTACAATTATGGTCAAGAATTTGAATAATTCAAAGAAAAACATCAACTTTATCTTCAGTATCAGAGCGAGGGAACAATTGACAGGTATGTGAAACTCGTTTTTAAAGTTTTACTTCGAACACAAACACAATACTATCTCAGTGCAAGCGCTTGTGTTTTCTAATATAAGACATCTAAAAACTTCGTAAGCAATGACTAACATGAATATGCTATGTGGTCGTCACGTTTGACATTAGCGATTGAATGATGAAATAATATAATATTTTTTCCTTCTTTTATAGTGGAGTCACATGGACTCAATATCAATTTACGTCTCAACGCAATATTTGAAGCCATTTTCATTTTAAGAATTTGAATTCGTATTTTTTAGTTTTTCTTTTCTTTTAAATATTGGAGTAAATTTGTTTTCGGGTCAAAATGAGTTATCCTTTTATCTTATTCTATTTCTGTTAGGTACTTTTTCTATTTTGGGATAAAAATTAGGCAGCCATCATATTTGGGTGGCTTTGTTATTTTTTTTTTTCATACAATGGAATGGGAGTAGAAAAAGAAAAGGACATGTAAAGAAAATATGAGTAGTCAATTTTGATGAACATTTTCCTCTAAGTGGCCAAATTTCAGTGGGCTGCTTTCGTTCATACTGCCTAAAATTAAAATGTCCATATATGGTAGTTGTTGTAGGCAATGCCATATTTCAGCTTCTTCTGCTGGTTATTTGGATACGATATGTTGTTTTCTTGGAGATTTGAAAGAAGGTATCGGTCCATTGGTGTTAAATTCTCTCTTTTCATAACTAGATCGAATGTGGACTCGGAGAAGTTAGTAATTTATATATAACGGTTAACCGTTCTTGTACAGTTAATTAACAATTGATAGGACCGCTCATGAGTCATTAGATAAAAGGCATATATAATAAACTAATTTAGGACCAAATTTAATACTAACCATAAACAATTTTAAGTCCATATAATCACTAATCAAAAGTTCTAATAAATAATTTAAGCTATCTCCCAAAAAAAATTATTTTTATTAAATCAAAATAGTATTTATTATTGCAATCTATAGTCGAGCATATAAGGCCGACAAGGAGGCTTAGAAATGAAGAAAAGAAAGCATAAATAAAATTAGTAATTTTGTTCGGGTTGCCTTAATTTATGTTAAAGTATTTTATTTCCTTAAAAGTGTTTTGTGTTTAAGATAATGAATTAGTGGACCAGTCACCCGGGGCGATCATCTTATTTCCTGTCAAGCCGTAAAAATCATTCAATTCATCCCTAACCGCTAAAGCTAATCAACCGAACCTTTATTGCAACTGATTTGGTGGTTCTACTGATGCAACCACTTATTCAGTTCAGTTGTTATAACAATATAATGGTTAAATCCCAAGTTCTTGGAGCACCTTTGCTAAACTCCAGAAAAGAGTCTCATATTTATATTGAAATCGTAACCAATAATTTGAGTTATTGAGATCAAATGTTTTATTCGTTAACATGATATCGGAACTTTTAACTGAGAGGTCTCATGTTTGAATTCTCACGATCCCAACGTTAACAATTAGTTTAACTATAAGATATGATATGCTCCATTTGTATCAAATGGTTTGTTCTTCAACTAAACTCATTTCTCACATATGGGCTTGTAATTATTTTAATGTGAAGACATGGGTAGGGTTGTTGGGAAGGATCTAAATCCCCGGAAATGTTGAGGAAGTGAGAGTTTGCATCGATTCGTGGTTGGCATTTTATGGCAACAACGCTTGGAATTTGGCGGCAAGTAGAAGCAGCATCTCTCAGCCATAACGCGCCTGCCCTCCGTGGTTATGCCGTTATACAGTAATCACTAACCTTCCAATTGGTGTGGTTATGCCTAGTCGAACCAAAAACCGAATTGGTAGTTTCGGTTTTTTTTATTTTTTTATGAATGGTAGGACGTTTCATTTCATCAAAATGTCAAACAACCTTGCTGGCAACAACTCTGACCAGTTGAGCAGTGTACTTTTAACAAGAATTTACATCAACCAAAACATACTATCAACTACAACCATAAAACTAGAAAAACCTATCAAGGATTCCATGGTCCAAGAGTAGCCTCAGATCTCCCTTGATCAAACTAGTCAGCTCCTCCAAATTGAACACCTTACCTCCAAACTTTATCCTGCATCTCTCCCTCCAGATACTTGCAACCAAACTCTGCCAAATCACTTTACCCACCTGAGCCATGTCATTCTTCTGTGTAAAATTCTGGGAAGCCCACTGAAGTTCAGCTATCCACTGATCACCAGGAGAATGATTAGAGTACTTTGCAAATAGCTTGATGAATAGCTGTTTATAGACAAAGCATTCTGCAAATACATGTGATCTTGTTTCTAGGGTTGAATTACAGAAAACACAGCAATGGTTACTTGCAGTCCCCCACCCTTGAGTCTTTTCTCCTGTCACAATATAATCATTTACTATGAGCCATACTAAGAACTGGTTTCTGGGGATACTTGTTCCTCTCCAAACCAGAGAGTACCAGGGAACAGTGTTGGTTTTGGGTCTCAGCTCCTCCCATACTTTCTTTATTTTGAATTTCTCCATCAGTTCACCTTTCCAGTACACTCCATCAGTCCCAGTCCCCAAATAATTCCTCATCTTGTCTCTGTTCTTCAGCAGTTTCAACCACAACCAGGATCCAGCTTTCGAGGTGACAGTCCAAAAGTCACATCTCTTAATTCTATACTCCCAAACCCAGGCCACCCATAATGACCCCTGTTTCAACAATATAGCCCAGACATGCCTTGTAACACAAGCCAAATTCCAAGACACCATGTCTCTAAATCCCAGACCCCCCTCCTTCTTAGGGTATGTAATCCTTTGCCAAGCCACCACAGCCCTCTTCCTAGGTCCATCTCCCACACCCCACAAAAAATCACTGCATAGTTTCTCTATTGCTTTGATAACTGACTTAGGGAGTATGAAAATTGACATCCAAAATTGTTTGAGACTATACAATACTGACATGACTAGCTGAATTTTCCCTGCATAAGAAAGTGTTTTTGCTTTCCAGCTAGCTATTCTCCTTGTCACCCTCTCAATAAGTGGAGTGCAAGCTTTAATGGTAAGTTTCCCTGCCAACAGAGGGAGACCCAAATACCTAACTGGTAACACCCCTAGCTTATAGCCTGAGTGCCTTGCCATAGCCTCCTGCCATTCCACACTTATACCTCCACAATAAAGTTCACATTTTGATGGGTTGGATTTTAGGTCTGACATTCTTCTAAACTCAGCTAGAACTTTCTTGATACATTGAATCCCATAATTTGAACCATCAGAAAATAAAAAAAGATCATCAGCAAACATAAGATGGGTTAATCCCAATCTCTTACACATGGGGTGAAATGGCATCTCATTTCTCCTGACTGCTTCATTCATTAGACAAGATAAAACTTCCATAGCCACAACAAATAGGTATGGGGAGAGGGGATCCCCCTGCCTCAGCCCCTTCTTAGCAGAAAAGTACCCCACTGAACCTCCATTAAATCCAATACTCAACTTGGGTGTAGTAACACACATTTTTAACGATTGTAAAAACCTCTCAGGTATTCCCATTGCTTGCAAAGTATTAAAAAGGAAACCCCAATCCACAGAGTCAAAGGCCTTCATCAGGTCAATCTTCACTAAGGATCTTGGAGAGATGTTTTTCCTACCATATTTCTGAACAAGCTCGTGTGCAAGTAATATGTTTTCCCCTATTACCCTACCCTTAACAAATGCAGTTTGAGATTCACTAATTAAGCAGGGCATAACAGAGCTTAGCCTCACAACAAGTATTTTGGCCATACACTTATATAGAATGTTGCAACAAGAGATTGGTCTAAAGAATTTCATCTCTTCTGGGGACTGAATCTTAGGTATAAGGGCTAAAAGAGTTGCATTGACACAAATTGGGATCTCAGATACTCTAAAACAGTGTAAGATGGCAGATGTTACCTCTCCTCCAATGACATGCCAAGCTGCTTTGAAGAAACAGGCAGGGAAGCCATCAGGCCCAGGGGCCTTCTCCCCATCAAATCCAAACAGAGTTAGTTTGACTTCTTCAGCTGTAAGAGGGGAGCACAACTCTACACTCTGATCAGGCATTAATTTTTTGAGAAGTATGCTTTTAATTTGATCCACCCCTGGGGGAATAACTTATGGATCACATTTTCCCAACAATTCCTTGTAGAATCTCTCTGCTATCCCAGCCATACCATCTGTATCTGTAACTCTTTGACCATTTTCATTGATTAAGGATCTAATCATATTCCTTTTTTGGCGACTCTTAACTGAGTTATGGAAGTATGGGGTGTTCGAGTCTCCCTCTTTGAGCCAAATTTCCCTTGATTTCTGGCGGAAAAAAGATTCCTCAGCCTCTCTTAGACCCCTAGCCTCTTTAGAAATTCTTATCTCCTCTTCAAAAGCACTAGTTGTGGGGTGATTCAAGGCTTCTGCCTGTGCAGTCACCAGTTCAGCTTCCTTCATTCGCACCCTTTCACTGATATCAGAAAAATCATCCCTGTTCAACTTCTTAAGCATCCCCTTGAGTAGTTTCAGCTTTCTA